TCTGGAGCCCGGCCGGAGCCGGAGACCCGAGTCCGGAAATGCGTTTCTCCGCGGGGCGGGGGGCGGCGTTGCCGAGTGGGGTCCAGCGCAGCTGCCCTCTGGGTGTCTCAGCCCTGCTGGAGTTTAAGGGAGCCCGTCCTTAGCTTCCGTTTCTTCAGCCTGTTCCATGCCTTCTATACCGGTGCTAAACTGGTTAGAAAACGTAACACGCAAAGAAGTGACGGAAAGCTCACGGTGTCGCACACCCGCCGGGTGACACGGGGGACACGACGGCCACTCGCACACACGGCTCTCAGCACCCTCATTTGCCCGAATGTCAAGGTGCCGTGCAAGTCTGCTAGAAATATCTGAGGCTTACTTTAGACCTGACAAAATACCTGAATGTAAAGCCATAGAATTTCTGGGGAAGAAAGCCCGATGGCTTTGCAGGCCCTATAGTAAAACGTGTTACAGAATTTTGATGAAAAAATGTGAAATGGGACAAAAGGCAGGCAGTTCACAGGAAAAGGGAAATCTCAGGAATGGAACGCATGTAGAAAAAGGAATGAGTAGGGACTGATGACAAATGTCTCAGGGAAAGACAGGTGTTTACTAAATAATTTTGGAGCCAAGCGTGGTAATCCCAGCACTCAGGAGGCTGAGGCAGGAGGATTGCTGTGGGTTCAAAGTTGATCCGGCCTACCTAGAGAAGCCTTGTCTCAAAAAAGTCAATCGATCAATAATTTTGGAATAATAGGAAAATGAAGCAGAGGCGGAAACCAGCTTCACGTCTTCCTGAGCGAGGAGCTATGCGGCCAGCGGACAGGCTTCACACCGCAAGCTCCATGATGCACCAGCATCAGGTTCTTCTGTGTGGCGGAAATAAGTTGAGGGATTTTCTTCCTTCTTTTCAAACTTACTGCAGTAAACCTGCTTAGTCGTAGTGTCGTCAAGTTTAACAGGGGTTTTTGTTGTGTATATTTCAGTGTGAAAGAACAGGAACTCATTTGTGCTCTGAGAGTTATTTTTTGAGCAGAGATTTTAGAAAAGATTCTCTTGGTCTGTGTGTCTCAGATGGGGCAAGTTTGGAGATTGTTTTTCTTGTTTCTTTTGAGACAGGGTCTCAGGATGTAGTTTAGGTTGGTCTTGAACCCTCTATATAGCCCAGGCTGGCCGCCACCTCACGGTGATCCTCCTGCCTCAGCCTCCCCAGTGCTGGGATTACAGATGTGTGCCACCACGCTTTGGCTGAGTTTGAGGTTTCTGCTAATAGATCATTCAAGACCATATCTGTGGCTTACTTGAATAATCTCCTATATGTTGCACTTTTATTATTATTATTATTATTATTATTATTATTATTATTATTATTATCATCATCACAGTACAAGGGTGTGAAACAAGGGCCTTTGCACTTAGCTCCATCCCCATCCCTTTTTTATTTTGAGACAGTGTCTTGCTAAGTTGCCCAGGTGAAATTCAAACTTGCGCTCTTCCTGCCTCAGCCTTCCAAAGTGCTGGGATCACAGGCGTGCACCACCATGCCTGGCTAGATGTTACTTTTATATTAAACAAAGTCAAACAAGATTGGGAGACTATAAAATGAGGATGGTTTCCTTTTCCAGGTAAGACCTGTGGGCAGCTGCCCACCCTCAGATGGCCGCTGCCTCAGTCAGGTCCTCTCCACAGGTTCGGCCTTGCTGGGCAGCAGGGCCTGCTCCAAGCTGGGGCAATAAGGTACCTTTTGTCCCACGCCCCGGCCTGAGGCAGCCAACTGTGTGTCGGGCTTTCTTGAGAGGTCAGAGTCCCAAGTGCGAGAGCCGAGGATTCCCGAAGCCGCCCCAGGACCCAGCTGAGCTCGGGGGAGGAAGAGCTGGTGAGGGCGGGAGCCAGAGGAGGCCAGGGCGCCAGGCAGCCCGCTGTGGCCCCATGCCTGGCCCTGGGCAGGACGCTGTGCTGGGCCAACTGCAGGATGTGGCGCTGGCCAGCCTGGACTGGGGCTTCCTAGAAGCCCGCCCCGGGGTGCCCCGGTCTGAACACCAGCGCCAGGCCCTGCGAAGCCTGTCCTGTGTCCTGTGTCCTGTGGGCCTCTTCGTTCACTGGACGCAGTGCGATGTGCACTGGACAGGAAGCTCTGTGCAGCAGGAGCGGTGTGGGCCCCAGGAGGGGACAGGGTGCCGGAGGGCGAGGCCCGGCCTGGCCCAGACGGTCCTCGAGGTGACAGCGGACAAGCACTGTGTGTGGCAGCTGCTCAGCACGCTTGGTGAGCTGCAAGAACAGATGTGTGATGGCTGCATGGTGGGGCGTCAGGGAGTGGGTGGGGTCGGGCCCGAACGGAGTCCTGCCCGGTCTCGGGAAGGGAGCCAGGCCCTTCTGGGCAGCTTCAAATGAGGTTTTCCAGAAGCCGAGTCAGGCTAGAGCACTCCCCTTGGTTAAGAGGGTAAACCATTCAAATGCCCAAGGCCCAGCGAGTGGCTTTTAAAAAGAAGTGGCATGTGCACACAGTGGAACATTATTTAGTCTTGAAAAAGAAGGACGTCCTGCCATTTCTGAACACATGGATGGACCCACTTGGATGCCAAGTGAAGCCGTCCAGGCACCGAAAGGCAATGCCACAAATCTCACTAATATGGAAATTATTTAAACAGGTGAGCTCATAGAAGTAGAGAGTAAAGTTGGGTATGGTGGCACCTGTTTAGCACTCAGGAGGCTGAGGCAGAAGCATCTCCATGAATTTGAGACCAAGATAAACTACATAGTGAGATCTCTCTAAAAAAAAACAAGAAGAAGAGAGTAGAGAAGACAGGGTAGGGAAGGTGTTCAAAGGGCACAAAATTTCAGTTGTCAAAGATCAGTAAGTTTTGCAGATCTAAGGCACCATGTGTTGGGAACAGTTAACACTGCTGTATGACAGTAGTAACAGGGTAGATCTCGAGTGTTCACCCCCATCCCCTCCTCCTGCACCACAGACTCGGCTCCGCTCCAGGGAACTGGGAATCCTGGTGCAGCCAGTGTCACTTGCTGCTGGCTGGCTTCTCTCTAAGGCCTCCTGGCACCGCACACTTGGATTATTTTACTTGGCCTTTGGAATGTGCGGCGATCACAGGCACCAAAGCCTGTCGGGCAGGGTGTTGTGCCATGTCTGTGAGGCCCTGCTTGCTGTTGACTCTGAGGCCCACTTGAGAAGTGACCACCCTGTGTCACGCTGAGTCTGAGATTCCAATACACCTGGGCCCTGGGTGCTTGGGGTTGAGGCTTTGCCGTGTGGCCCTTGGCAGGCCTGGCAAGTGAGTGCTCTGACAGTGGCCTCAGGCCTCAGCTGCCTCTGAGAGTCCATGCAGCCCTAGCTCTTAGGTCCCATCCCTGGCCCTGGGTGTCTCCTTTCTGACTCAGAGACCCTGGAGGCCGAGGCTCTCCTGTAACCACGTCAGGATCATCCCCTGACGTGGAGAGATAAAGGGTCCTGAGTTGTAAGAGACCTCAAGGTGGGCAGGACGCCAGCCCTGTGCTCGGGGACCCCTGACAGCCATAGCCAGGTGGGTCAGGCAGAGGGCAGGCTAGGAGAAGCATCACACAGGGCCTGGGCCATGGTGGGGTTAGGCCCCTGCTTCCTGGGGTGCCAGTCTCGAAGGGGCTCTGTACATGGGTGAAGTAGGTGTGGAACCAGTTACCTCCTTGATCCCCAAGCTTGTACCAGGGACTGGTCCTGTGGAAGACACTTTGTTCTGGGATGATTCGAGCACATTACGTTTTACTGTGTGCTTTTTTCTACTATTACTATGATGTAATAATAGTGAAATAATTCCATGGCTCACCATGGAATGGAATCAGTGGGAGGTCTGAGCTTGTTTTCCTGCAGATGATTCCTCCTGGGAGTGATGAGAGGTAGTGATACCCAAGGTCTGTGCTTGTTCCGGTCTCCCCCACAGTCTCCTTTTTGGCCACCAGATACAGTTGAGTTGTCACTTGCCATTCACTGATATGGGTCTGCAAGCAATTGATTTATTATGGGCCATTTACAGCCAAACCCCTCTGCTGATGTTCACCTGTGTTTGCAGCTGTGCCCCACTGCTAGCATCCCTGCCTCAGCTCCATCTCAGATCGTCAGGGGCTGTAACCCAGTTCCCAGGAATGCGCAGTTCACAAAGCAGACATAGAACCGCCACCTCCTAATGGGAGCAGCAGCACTGCAGAGGGGACTTTGCTTGCTCAACCACTGCTCACCTGCTGCTGTGTGGCCCAGTTCCTGAAACTTTTCTACAAATGTCTCTTCCCATGATTGGAAGCCGCTCTCGCTTCTGCTGAAGAAAGCAATGTCACAGAGGAGGAATAAAATACTTCTTCCTACTGCAGTGTTTCCTGCAGGCTGCCTGAACCTCCATTCCGGAAGCTGACAGTCATGGAGGTGGGCCGTCCTCTAAGGCTGTTTCCGGGATAGGGGCTTCCTCTTCCCAGGGCACACACTCGTGTGGCTCTGGTGATGAAGTGTGGGCTGTTCCTGTGTTAGCTGAGGGAGGCCAGGTTGCCGTAACAAAGATCCAGTGACCAGGTAGGCAGGACAGGCACCCTCGTCCTGTAAAGTGCCCAGGAGTCTCTCTCTCATGTATGTGAGTGTGTGTGTGTGTGTGTGTGTGTGTGTGTGTGTTCTCAAAGATTACTTATTAGCTCTTCTCACCCATGGTGAAAAGAAATTAAAAAGTAACTGAAATAAAATGAGATTAAAAATAGCCCACAACATCTCTGGCCCCACACGTCAGGAGGACATAAACGTGAGGGACCTCGATGGGCTTCTGGTTTGCAGCTTACCAGAGAACCCAGTGCACGGAGCAATAAGGAAACGATGCCCCGACTCTCCGAAGCCCAGGGTGATTTTTAAACAGAGACTGTAATGACGATAGCCCTTGGGCTCGTGAGCGGCTGGGCCCTTTGGACTCGATCGTCCCAGTCCTGACAGTCTCACCGCGCACCCTCGGAGGGGCCAGTCGCTGCTCTGCGTGGTGGAGGACTTGGTTTCCAAGGAGTGGGGTCGCCCCGGCTGGCTCGGCTGGGTGTGGGATGAGGGTACCGGGGCTCTGTAATGTACCTGGGGACAGAGCTGTGGGCGCCGCAATCAGGAGACGGCCGGTGGCCCCGCTGCCCTGGGGTCCCCCATACAGACACCGTGAAGCCTGTGCCAAGCATGTGGCATCTCGAGAGGACGCGCACGGCCCCAGGGAGGATGAGGAAGCCGGGGCTCCTGGGGTGCCGCGATCCGGCCGCTTTCTCCGAGTTCCCTGCAGCTGCCGCACCGCTGGGAGTTCTCTCTCCGCAGATGCGGCCGTCGATTTGAGTCAGATTTCTGTTTGGTCCAGGGAGGGCCAGTTGTTAAAAGGACTTGGATTCCTCGTTCGCTTTCCTTCCTTCTCTTCAATGCTGGCTTCCGCCCTACCTGAAGGGGTCTCCACGTGGGTCCTTTGTGACTGGAGTTTAGGGCCTGAGCACAGCTGGAGCCCCGGTCACCTGGTCAGGATCAGGTGCCCCTGTTCCCGCAGAAGAGCTTGCAGGGACCCTCACAGCCCACTCCGGCCTCGAAGAGGTCAGGGCAGAGGGACCAGGTCCAGGTGTGGTTTCGTTCCTGGAAGAGCTGGGGTCTCCACACCACCGTGGTGAGGTCCTGGCTTTCCGGCCAGCTGCTGTGAGCTCCAGAAGGGCCTCCGGGTCCACAGCACCACCCTCTGGTGCCAGGGCAGTGCCTGGTGGGCACTGTCAGGCTCCTCAATGCCCGGATGTTGGTTTCATACTGCTAGTCTAGGTCCAGCTGCCTGACCCGCAGGTGACTGGGGTGTCAGGAGCCTGGGCCTCCAACAGTCGGCAAGGAACAATTTTCCTGGCCACAGGGATGATTTAGGAAGGAGAGAATGTAACCCTAATGAGAGGCTGATTTGTTTCGAGCATTCTTTCCCTTAAGGGGGAGCCTGTGGTGGGAAGCCTGGGCCACAGCAGCCATTTAAAAAATTGTGGCAACAAGCATAACATGAACGTTACCGTTTTAGCCATTTTAAATGTACAATTAGGTGGGATTGAGTTCATTCACGCTGTTGTATGACCATTACTACCCTCTATCCCCAGAGCCTTTTCCATCTTCCCAAAATCAATTCTGGGCCCATTAAATGCAGACTCCTCCCTCTCCCCTCTCCCCAGCTCTTGACGCAGCACCCTTCTTCCTGTCTCCTCAAGGCTCCTGTGGAAGCAGAGGTCACCTGGTGTCTGTCCTTTTGTGACTGGCTTCTTTCACTCGGCATAATGTCTACACGAGCGAGCCCTGTCCTTGCGCCAGTCAGATTTCCCTCCTTTTTTAAGGGTGAATAATATTCCAAGGTATGTACCGTGAAAGTTACCGGAATCAGAAGGCAGTCGCTGGGGTTGAGCCCTAGCAAAAAATACGTACAAAAAGTAAAGGTGGGAGACCACGAAGGAGGGAGTCATCTGCAGGATGCCTGATCACAGGCGCTGGTGGGAGAGGCGGTTGGGACATGCCTGGCACAAGGCCCCATGAGGGGCACCAAGAGCACTGCCCCAAGGACATCTGTCCGGTAGCTGTCAGCCCGGCCAGCACCTGTGCTGCTGAGCCCGGAGACCAAGGATGCCTGTGTCCGAATAACTCACGGACCCTCTTCACCCTGCCCTCCCTTCGCCCGGCTCGTTGAATGTGCCACTGTTTCCCGATAAGTGAGTCTCACACCGCAGCTGCCCTTGCTTACTCACAAGGAAGTGGCATCGTTCTCTCCCTCTCTCACCCTCCTGCTCTCCCCTTGGCACTGAACCCAGGGTCTTCATGCTAAGCTACACCCTCGGCCCTTTTTAACTTTTTATTTTGAGACAAGGTCTTGCTAAGTTACTAAGTAGCCCGGGCTAGGCTCAAAGCCCTGATCCTCCTGCCTTGGCGTCCCCGATTGCTGGGATCACAGGCACCTGCCACGATGTCCGGCTGGCATCCGCCTTTAGCGCCTCTCTCTGTTATTTCAAGGCTGATTCCACGCACTCCCTTTTGCCTGTTCGTTTGTTCGTTCGTCCGCCCCTCCAGGTGGACACGCGTGTTGCTTTCACCTTCCGGTTCCCGAAGCGCAGCCACAGGGTTGCTGGGAGTGGGGCTGAGCTGCTGGGCCGGGCTGCCCTGGATCCTGGAACAGTGCACTTCTTCCTTGTCAGAGTTTTAGTTTCTTAAGCTCTACACCGTCTTCTGAGAAGTCACCAAAGTGCAAAATGCAGAAGAAAACAAAAACGAGCAACCACAAAAAAGTGGAACATATTTTGCTGATGTGAATGCTGGGAAAAACATTTGCAAACACGTTTTGAACAAGACTGCATTTCTGCAATTATGCAGGCTGCCTCACGCATGCGTGCAGGTGACTAGCGCTCCGAGAAGAGGGGCTGGCGGGGTTTGGTTAGCTGTTTGTTACGGCCGGTGTGAGTCAGAAATCCCTGATTTTGACCGTTCAAGATTTACTTCGAGGCCGGACATGGTGAGGCCTGCTCGTCATCCTGTCACCTTGGGAGGCTGAGGGAGGAGGACTGAAAGTTCAGCCCATCCTGGGCAATTTAGCAAGACCCTGTCTCAAAAATAGAAGAGAAAAAGGGTGGGGCTGTAGCTCAGTGTGAAGGTCCTTGTTCGGTATGTGGTTAAACACAGACACACACACACACACACACACACACACACACACACACATCAAAAAGGTGAAAAAACAGACTTATCGAAAAAAAGTTTGAGTTTTCTTATATTTTCACTGAACAAATACAGTGTGGATATTTAGAGATGGAGAATATTATTATTATTCTTTGTTTTTTGAGACAGGGTCTCACTGTGTAGTTCAGGCTGGACTTGGATTTACAGCGATCCTCCTGCCTCAGCCTCCTGAGTGCTGGGGCCATAGGTGTGCACCACCATGCGTGGCTCAAAGAACGAGATTAGAAACCTGTGCGGAACACTCACATGTCCCCATCCAGCAGAGGAGCGGGGCTTGGGGCTTGTTGGTCTCCCCTCAGCTTCGGCAGCATTTGGTGGAAAATGCCCTGAACTGATGGTGGCCCTGGGATCTTGGTCAGCTGAGCAACCCTGGGAAAATCTCCTTCCCCGGGCCTCTGTTTCCTCGTCTGTAAAATGGGTTTCTTAATACAGTGATGGAAGTGGGAGTTGGCAACATCAAAATGGAGTCACTTGTGCCAACCCTAAACAGTCAGTAATGAACAAAGCTGGCAGACTGTGAGGAGTTCTTGCCTGTGATTGCTTGATAGTGACTATCACAAATGACTGCACACACCTGTAATCCCAGTACTCGGGAGGCTGAGGCAGGAGGATCACCAGCCTGGGCTCCATAGTGAGTTTCAGGCCAGCTGGACCACGTAGCAAGACCCTGTCTGAATAAATAAACACAAAAAAGCAAAACAAAGACTACATGTCACGATGTCCTCGCCACTAAGGGCAGGAACAAGGTGCCTTGTTCACCTCGGTGTCCAAAGCCTGCCACATGTGCAGCAGACAGCTGGCACCCAGCACGTTTGTTCATAGAGTGAATAAGTGATTGACAACTAGTGTGAATGCCAGCTTCCGATGCCCTCAGCGCCTCCCAGCTCCCTGCTCCCCGGGCCTCCGCCCTGACCTCCCGGCCCGGCCACGCTCCTCCCCCTCCCCCACACCTGTCCTCCCTCGCTGGCTGTCTCAAGAAGCCGGGCTCAGTGCCAGCACCCAGGTAATGCTGCTCCCTTCTGACCCTGGGGCTGCACCGGGTCAGCCCTTCTCCTCTGGAAATGATGAGCCCTCTTGCGTCTGGGTCCTGAATTCGAGGCGGCTCCGGGCGAGTGGCCTTGGCCAGCTGTTGGGAGCAGCAGGCGCGGACGGCACTTTCCCGTGAGGCGAAGCCACATCCGCGTGAGGGGGCTGGTGTGGTGCCTGCTGGGGCGGGGCGGGCTGGCTGATGCCTTGGGGAGCCCCCTTCCGGCCTTGGCGTCCCCGGAGGGCCGTCCTGGGCCTCTGATAAGCAGGTCCTGTCCCTTATGCCAAGTTGTTATCAGCCATCAGAAACTTCTGGGAGCGTGGGGGCGGGGATAGTGATAGCAACAACACAGTGACATTTAGTGGCTGCCTGCTCACTACAGGGCACTGAGAGCTGCTTGGGAGGCATCGCGTTGGAGGTTGTTTGTTTGTTTGTTTGTTTTTGGAGACAGGGTCTCTCCGTGTATCCCAGCTGGCCTTGAACTCAGTGATCCTCCTGCCTCAGCCTCCTGAGTGCTGGCATGGCTGCGCCTCCGCGCCCAGCTTGTCTTGGTTCACTCTCACA